CCAACCCCCAACCCCCCAACCCCCAACCCCAGGCATGCACCCACCTGCTCAGCGAGGTCCGCAGCATCGCCGTAGACCTGGACGTCGCCCCCGCGTAAGCCCTCCGCTCCAGGTCGTCGAGCATGTCCAGCATGTCCTCCAACGTACCGCCGCCTGAGGGCGAGGCAGCGGCGGCGGCGGAGGCCTGGAGGCGACGGGCGACGGGAGGGGTCCAGTGGGGGGGGCGGCGGGAGGAGAGGAAGTGCGTAGTGAGGGCGATGGCGAGTGGGGGCGGAGGGAGGAGGGGGGGGAACTGATTCGATGCAAACTGCACTGAAGTCAAACCGACAATGTTAAACCCTAAGCCCCCTAAATCATCCACGAAATCACCCCAAAGTCCCACATAGCCCCCTAGAACCCCACAAAGCAGGGAGAGGGGGGTTGGAACAAGGAAGGATGTCCTACACGTGCCCTAGCTCTAGTACCACCATATGTGTCTCTCTCTCTCTCTCTCTTCATGACCGCTCCGATATAGATCACGCCAGACCAGCGCGGAGCGGAGCAGGCCTTGGAAGCCCAAGACCTAACCGTGAAGCCCTAATCAATAAAGTACCCCTATCTACCTATATCTAGGAAAGGAACAACAACAAAAAGGAAACGCATAACACGACGCGACCATCTTCTCTCTGATTGGCCCCCCGGTAGAGAGACATTGCATGCGTGCGGCCCGCCACGTGACCACCACCCAGGACACATCACATACACCAAAAGGGGTACCACCCAGGGGTACCACCCAGGGGACACAACAGATACGCCAAAAGGTGGTGTATTTGGGGGCGTAGAAATCCTAAGTGTATTTGGGGGCGTAGAAATCCTAAGTGTATTTGGGGGCGTAGAAATCCTAAGTGTATTTGGGGGGCTAGAAATCCTAAGTGTATTTGGGGGCGTAGAAATCCTAAGTGTATTTGGGGGCGCTAGAAATCCTAAGTGTATTTGGGGGGCTAGAAATCCTAAGTGTATTTGGGGGGCTAGAAATCCTAAGTGTATTTGGGGGCGTAGAAATCCTAAGTGTATTTGGGGGGCGTAGAAATCCTAAGTGTATTTGGGGGGCTAGAAATCCTAAGTGTATTTGGGGGCGTAGAAATCCTAAGTGTATTTGGGGGGCTAGAAATCCTAAGTGTATTTGGGGGGCTAGAAATCCTAAGTGTATTTGGGGGGCTAGAAATCCTAAGTGTATTTGGGGGGCTAGAAATCCTAAGTGTATTTGGGGGGCTAGAAATCCTAAGTGTATTTGGGGGGCTAGAAATCCTAAGTGTATTTGGGGGGCTAGAAATCCTAAGTGTATTTGGGGGGCTAGAAATCCTAAGTGTATTTGGGGGGCTAGAAATCCTAAGTGTATTTGGGGGGCTAGAAATCCTAAGTGTATTTGGGGGGCTAGAAATCCTAAGTGTATTTGGGGGGCTAGAAATCCTAAGTGTATTTGGGGGGCTAGAAATCCTAAGTGTATTTGGGGGGCTAGAAATCCTAAGTGTATTTGGGGGGCTAGAAATCCTAAGTGTATTTGGGGGGCTAGAAATCCTAAGTGTATTTGGGGGGCTAGAAATCCTAAGTGTATTGGGGGGCTAGAAATCCTAAGT